AACCAAACACTCTCAAAAAGAGGAGATATGAAATAGTAAAAAGTGTTGCCTTACTGAGATAGTCGCTGAGATTGATGGTTTGATTTGTGGCCCAAGAAGTGTAATTTACTAGCAGAGGCGTTTGTGACGGGATCGAAGAACCAGCCAGCATCGCCGCCAACTATGTAGTTGGTGTATTCGTTTGCAGCAGCAGTAGCCATCACGAGTAGCACCATAACCATCAAAACTGAACACGTGGAATGAAATTGGTTCCATATCATCAACTGAGTGAGGTGTTTTTTTCACGTAAAATTCGTGAAAATTAAAAGAAGTAATTGGTGTAGACTTAACGTGCCAGATATGCAGCTCCATGACGAAAGGATCATTTGAATTACAGAAAAATAGAGTTTAAGGATGATTTGGGTGCTTTTTGAAGTTAAAGGATGAATTAAGTTTAGAAATGAAAGTTTAGGGACCAAATTCGACATTAAACCAACAAAAATTGAAGGAAATTTTTTTTTTTCTTTTGTTACATGTGTGACTGGCATGGGACTTCAATTTAATTAAAAAAATTTGAAAGTGATTAACACTTCGCATGACCAAGGGCGGAACTCCTTAATATTTTTTTTTTTAACAAGTTGTAAATGGGCGGTTCGAAACTTGCTTAGGAACTCCTTAATATTTATTATTAGGGTATTTCTACATTAAAATAAATTTTATGCATTTTAAAATAATTTTAAATTTGCACTTCTTATATTTGTATAAATTAATTTTTTTAAATATTAATTTTAAATTTTAAACTTTAAATCTAATCTATGAAATAATATTTATTGATAAATAAACACAACGTTAGATTGTAAACGGAACCTTAGAAGAAGACGTTCTGATCATCTAAACAAAACAAAAATTGAAGATGACTTTTTTTTTTTTTTGGTTTCCGTCCGGTATATGGGATTTCGTTTCGATTAATCTGGATTGATCCGCGTTGCACACTTGAAAATGGTGAGTGAATCTCCCAACGAAAGTTGTTGCGTACACAAACTCTCGAACTCTCAAACTTGTTTAAGTTGAAATAAACCGCTTACCATTTGATCCGATCCTGATTGCTAAAATGACTTATTTTGTTATATGCGAATGAGACTTTAATTTATTTAATTAATTCTACTTTTGGTGTTTGCCCATGTGGTTGCATCCGATTGTTGAGCCTAAATGATGGCCCATGGGCTTGCGAGATAAAGGCCTTAAGCCCAACCACCATATCTGATTCCCCCAACTTCATTTCAGCGATTCAACTCTATAGAAGAAACTCCTACAAAACTACGTCGTTTCCTCTCTTCCCGGAAGGTACCTGATCGTTTCCATCTCTTTTTCGTCTTCTTCCTCATCAACCGAGGAAACTGTGCAGACACTCTCGCCGTCATTCATAGATAACGAATATGGGAGAAGAGAGAGAGGATCCACAGAAGCTGAAGAGGATTGCGGCGGCGGCATATGACTACGAGAACGACACGCGATGGGCGGACTACTGGTCTAACATCTTGATTCCACCCCACATGGCCTCCCGTTCCGACGTCGTTGATCACTTCAAGC